TGGTTAGTATCAAAGTCCACTAGGGAATGTTCTAATATTACTTTTCCTGGTTCTGCTTGTCTGAAATATGACAATAACCATAATAACCAAGCAAAAAAACTGGTCAAGCTAGGAATACGAGTAAATTCAGCAATTAATAAATCCATATACAAAACAGTCATCTAGCACCCATCTTGCAGAAATGAAATAAAATTTCCCATCAAAGAAACATACTCTTCCCATGTTTTCAAATTAAATTTACCATCACTTGACAAAAAGCAAGGCACAAAAAGACAAACATGAAAGACAAGGCATAAGCAATTGGCAAACAAGAATGACAATTTCTGATTACCTAAATGAGTCACAATCCAACATCAGTGAGACAAAAGCAAACTCTTACCTCCTTCCAGTTGTCCCAGTAGAATCTCCAAAATGATATAGGGGGAAAATGTTATTCCCAACCTGCTAGATGTCAGATACACAAACTCAGCCAAGTTTGTGTTCCCCAAAGTAGAAGAATGAATTCTGAGGAATAATGGAGGTTAAGAATAGGAAAAACAGGTCCAGGGATTTAGCTCGGTGGTTCCTCTGCCTGCCTTGCAAGTGCAAGGACCCGAGTTCAATCCCTGGTACCAAAAAAGAAGAAGAAGAAGAATAGGAAAAATTTCCTCCTCTTGCTGCTTTTGCTATCTTCTGGAGCCCCTCTGCTACCCTGTCTTAGAGCCAGCTGATTATGGACTGAAACCTGTATGCACTCTAAGATAAACGAATGTTTCCCCCTTTAACTTGGGGTATCAGCTGTTTTTGTCTCAGCAAGGAGAGAAAAGTAAGTAATGCAAATTTGGTACCAGAGACGTGGTGTTGCTGTTACATTACCTGGCCATGTGGCTCAAGAGCTTCAGAACTGGCTTGTGGGAGGGGAAGAGTTAGGAAAGATTTGGAGATGCCAGCTGAAGAAGCAGAGCTGGACCTCCTTAGGCTGTTCTGTATGGGAGATAATGGTTAGGGTCCAGAAGATCAGAAAGCCAGTAAAGACCAGGTGAAGGAGGTTTCTGCTGGGAAGGACTGCATTGGCTCCTGGACTCCAAATGATGTGTGTTATATCTTGGCAGAAAGTTTGTCTGCATTTTGTTCATGTCCAAAGACTGCCTGAGAGTGAGATTAAGGGCAGTGGACTAATCTGGCAGAAGAAATTTCAAGGTAATCTAATGTTCAGATGGTGGCATGGCTACTGTTGGGGGCTTTTAGCCAGATTTATGGTGAGAAGGGCAAAGAGCCAAGAAGAATGATTCAGAATGTTTTGAGTTTAGGCAGAAAGTGACTACAGTAAAGTTTTGGCCTGCAAAGATAGAGCAGAGGGGACTGGGCGTGGTGGCACACACCTATAATTCCAGCACTCTGGAGGCTGAGGCAGGAGGATCGCTGTGAGTTCAAAACCAGCCTGGGCTACATAGTGAGTTTCAGGTCAGTCTCAACTACATAGTGAGACCCTGTATCCAAAAAAAAAAAAAAGAGAGAGAGATCTTGATTGCAGAGAAGGAACAGGATACAAAAGATGGGCTGAGGACATTACAAGCCTCAGAATTTCAAAAGTGAAAGAATTTGCTTTGAGAAAAAAAAACCCAAAGTACCATGTTCCAGAATGGTGGTGGTAGCCTAGGGAATTCGTTCCTCAGAATTGGGTTGAGTGCCCAGCAATCCAGGCACTCAGCCCCTACAGCCAAGAGAGAAGGAAGACTGGCTACCACTGCTCCAGCTGGCAGCAGACCTTAGCATTATCCGCATGGTGCTGGTTTTAGGTGCATGCAGAATGCAGGAGTTGTGGGGTCAGTATGGCTATCCCCCAAATTTCAGAAAACGGCCCAGGAGGGCAGTGTGTAAAGCTGTGACTGCAGCTAGAGGTTCACTGGAGACCCCAGAAGTTTGGAAAAGCCAGAATCATGGGTCATCTGAGGAAAGCTGCAAAGAGGGAGCAGAAACAGCCCCAGAGAGAAGCGATGGCAGGTCCAACCGCAGAAATACCCTGGGGGTAGAGCCACCGAGCCCTTTGGAGTTTACAACTTGCAAGATTGCCAGGAATGGTGGGATTTAATGTTTGTCCTGCTGGATTTTGGACTTGCCTTGGCCCCATTCCTTCGTATCCCTCTGTTGCACTCTTGGAATGGGAACGTCTATCTTGTGCCATTGAGTGTTGGAAGTGTTTCATTTTCTTTTCATTTGTACAGGGGACTGAGTTTGCCTTAAATCACAGAGGAGACTTTAGACTTTATGCTGAAACTGTTAGGACTTTGGCAGCTCTTAGAGATGGACTAAATGCCTTGTGTGTAAAGGAATGCACGTGAGTCATTGTGGGGCTAGGGCAGAATGCTGTGGTTTGGGTCTTGATGTCCCCTCAGAATCCTCAGGTCATAGGTGGCTGAATCTAGAATGTGGGATGCTGGGATCAAGGGCGTGTGGTTACTAAACCACTACAAGACTGATTGGTTTGGCACCACCCTAATCCAGGTAGTCTGAGTAAGATAGAAGGAGCAGAAAGACTGTTAAGGCCCCTTGTTGTTGCTTCTGCTACCCTGTGGACACCATGAGTTGTTTTTCCCCTGTAACTGCCCCTCTGTGTGCACTACTCTGCCTTGGAACCGGCTGATTATGGACTGAAACCTCTACAAACTGTGAGCTAAATAAACTCTTTCCCCTTTAACTTTGAGTGTTGGGCATTTTGTCTCAGTAATGAGGGAGAAGCAACTAATATAATACCTGGTTTCAAATTATACTACAAAGCCATAGTAAGTAACAAAAACAGGATAATGCTGGCACAAAAATAGATCTGTGCTTTCCTTCCTGGGAGTGTTTTTTTTTTCTTAGTGACCATCAAGTAGAGAAAAATACAAAGATGATAAAAATAAAAGGAAGAAAATTTACTGGGGAAATAGGAGTAGCTCCCGAGAAATAGGAGGGGTCCCAAATGGGTTGCTCGACTTAACAGATTTAGAGGATTTAAAACATACAAAACTGTTTCAGCTGCTGAAAATATATTTTGGATGTCTTAGTAGGACAGGAAATGTGATCCTGGTATTCCAGGGGCCATGGGAGAGAGAACTGGGGGTGCCTGCCAGTGCAGTGAACCAACAGGTTCTGTAATCGGGTTTCCTGTGTTGATTGTTAACAGCATTAGTGATGCTAATCTTAGTAGTCCAGATCTATGCTTTTGATTAAACAAAGTCATGCTCATCCTTAATATCCATTAAAACTATGGGCTGTTTACCGGGCGTGGTGGCGCACGCCTTTAATCCCAGCACTTGGAAGGCTGAGGCAGGAGGATCACTGTGAATTGGAGACCAGGCTGGGCTACATAGTGAGTTCCAGGTCAGCCTCAACTACATAGTGAGACCCCTGTCTCAAAAAGCAAACAAACAAAAAACCTACGGGCTGTTAATTCAGGGATGACAGTGGGTTATAAAAGCTGTCCTCTTTGAAAGTGTTTCATATATATATATATATAGGGTTTTTTGTGTTTTTTTTGTGTTTTTTTTTTGGTACTGGGGATTGAACTCAGGACCTTGCATTTGCAAAGCAGGCGGTAGAACTGCTGAGCTACATCCCCAGCCCAAGACTACTTTTTCAAATCAAATCAGTTGAAATGGGAAACGAATCAGTGTGTTGTAGTATAGAGTCCATTCACAAAGTCTTTTTGTTTTAAACATGTTTTAACTACCATATTGTTTAAATCAACCTAATAGATGCAAGCTCACTGTTGGGAATGACAACAAAAAAGCCCGTTGTGACACTGGGATATCACATTGATCCGCAGACACACTTGGAATTTCTGCTCTTTCCAGGGTGTGATAGGCACTAGCAAGGGTAAATTAAATCTCAAGAAGCAGAAAAGTTAGTAATTAGGCAGTTCATCAGGCAGTAGATATAAGATGGAGAAGTAGTCTGGGGTGGCTCGGAGAACCTACTTGGAGGGACAGGGATGGACAGTTTAAGCCTCTAGGGTGGGTAAATCGGGGTAAGTGGAAAGGAAAGGAAAGCAGAGGGGAAAGGATTCCAAATAATTTAAGTGATACTTAGTTTATGTAGTTCATAAGACTTATAATCAGCATAGACTAAAAGTAACAATTTTCGGACCAGTTCTCCTATGTTGCCGAGACTGACCTCAAGCTCCTGGGTTCAAACAACCCTCCTGCCTCAGCCTCCCAAGTAGCTGGAACTATAAGGACATGTCAACGCACTTGTCATAACTTTCAGTTTTACTTGAAACGGAGAGACATTTAGAAAAAGTGGCAGCTACTTAATAGTATGCATTAATAGGGTCTATTTGTCATTATTTGGGACAGTGGTGGCACATCTATTCCACACAGGCCACAGTGGGCACGCAGAGCCCTCTCTGTCAGTACATGAGCCAAATCTCCTCAATCTCAGCCCAGCAGCCGAGCATTCAGGTTTAGTTACGGTGTTGGCACTGTGATTAATAAGCAGGTTTGGGGTTGCAGTGTGGACACTTGTCACTGATTTAGGACCTTCTTTTGTCACTTTTCTGTCTGCATTTTGGTTTTAGTCTAGATTTAAGTAGCATTTGGCTGGCATGTGTGGTGGTAGGATCTGCTTTTTTGGTGTGTTTTTGGTTTTTGGTTCTTTTTCCTTTTTTTTGACGCAGAGTCTCGATATGTAGTTCGGGCTGGCCTTGAACTCACTGTCCAGGCTGGCTTTAAACTTGCTGAAATCCTCCTGCTCCAGCATTGCAAGCACTGGGATTACAGGTGTGTGCCACTGTGCCCAGCTTTTGGTTTTTGGTTTTTTTATACTGCTAGGAAGGTGTCTACCAATCATTCTCAGACGACTTGGGTGATTTTATGAGAAGTTGAGTAAGCACTATGAGAAAAGGTAGAACTCTGGGGCCAGAGATTCAGTTTAGTCGTTCTGCTATCTGCCTCGCAAGTGCAAGGGCCCAAGTTCATTCCCTGGTACCAAAAAAAAAAAAGGCCAGAGCTCTGTGTGACTGTGACCTCATCTTGTTTCAGGTGATACTGTGGAGTCTGCAGAAGGCCCGGCCGCTCTGGATCACACATCTCCAGGAGGATGAGCCAGAAGAAACGGAAGGCCCACAGTCTCCCGGCCAGCTCCTAAACCCTGCCCTCGCCCACTCCATCTCCGTGGCGTCGTGTGGCAACATTTTCAGCTGTGGTGCAGAAGATGGCAAGGTGCGAATCTTCAGGGTGACGGGAGTCTCGTGTGAACAAGCACTGGGATTTAAGGGCCACACTCTGGGGGTGTCTCAGGTCTGCTTTCTGCCAGAATCCTATTTGCTGCTCACTGGAGGGAACGATGAGAAGATCATGCTGTGGGACGTGAGCTGCAGAGCTGAAAAAAACCAGAAGAGTCCTGCGAAACATACCCACGGGAAGAAAACCAAGCAGGGTGGGAACGGTAACGCTGCAGCAGCAGGCGGAGGACAGCGCAGCAGGATGGCCCCAAAGGTGAGCATTGAGCACGGAGACAAAGTGAACTGGCTCGTGGGTACAAAAATAAAGGGGCAGCAACACATATTAGTAGCTGATCAAACCAGTTGTATATCTGTATATCCTTTAAATGAGTTTTAAATTCAATAAAGACATTTGAAGAACTGTGGTGAAACTTTTGAGTTTTTAAAAAAATCCTGCCTCGTTTAAACTGTCTGTCTCGTGTACATTTTAAATCACTCGAACAGAGGATGATAACTGGATTATACTTCATGTAGTTAACAACATTAAACTCTGGAGAAAGGAACTAGTAACATGTATTGTATTGAGTGCATACCAGCCAATTTACATGTATTTCATTTCTTACTACAAATCAGTGACATAGGGAAGTTCCCCCATTTTACGGGCACAGGAATCAACACCCAGAGTGGCCAGTTAACAGGACAACTTGAGGCACGATTACTTGCCTGGAAAGGACCTTCACTGTGCCTCCTGCCTAGGGACGCCCATGTCCTGACCCAAACATGGTCACCACATTAGTTATCGCAGTTGTTCTGGATCTCGGATGTCACGAGGAGCCTAAGCAGGTTGTAAGAGAAATCTTGTTCTTCGTAAGGCCCTTTGCTGACAATTACCTATTTCTGTGTTTGTGATAAAAGGATTCCGGGGTCAAGTCGCTGGAATGTTATGTAGCAATTCAGGCCATGACCCTGGTGGAGCAAGGATAAACTGAAGCTATAAATAAGCAGAATTTCTGACTAAGCACAAGGTCCAAGGTAGGAAAGAGAATAGAGGCCAAGATGGTACAGCAAGAGTGTTTTGTTTCAGCATGGCCTGGGTCACTGTCCTTTCCAAGCGTTCTTTTAACTTTTGCTCCTAGTGCCTCCATTTAAATCCCAAGTTTTAAAGTGAGAACATTTGCCACTGTCCTTATTTGAGGAGAGCTCTTTTCAATAAGCCAAGGTTTAGACAGGACTCTTGTTCCAAGTGACAGAGCCAAATTACAATTGGCTTAACCCTTTGGAGGTTGAGGCGGATCTGAGTGATACAAGCAAACTCTTTCCCTATGGTGTAGAGGTAACAGCCAGGTGTGACAGCTCACACTTGTCCTCTTAGCATTTGGAAGGCTGAGGCAGGAGGCTGCCATGATTTCAAGGTCAGTCTGAACTACATAATGTGATTCTGTCTCAAAAAACCAAAAATAACAATTACAAAAACTACAAAAGAAAGCGAAGGGGTTGAATTAGACATCCCTAAAATGTCTTCTGTGCTATCTTATAAAGTCAAAACAGGTATCATAAAATTGTGCTTGTTTGATTATCTAATCAACACTAGCATGTGTAAGGTCCTGAGTTCTGTTCCCAGACCTACAAAAAATGAAAAGTACCACCAGGTGTGGTGGTGCACGCCTGTAATCCCAGCACTCGGGAGGCTGAGGCAGGAGGATCGCTGCAAGTTCGAGACCAGCCTGAGCTACATAGTGAGTTCCAGGTCAGTCTCAACTACATGGTGATACCCTGTCTCCAAAAGCCAAAAAAAGAAAAGAAAAGAAAAAGTACCAAGACCAGCTACAAGGGCGATCTGTCTGTGACATCTGTCCCGTCATTGATACAGAGCCGATGTGGCTGATCTGGTTGTCTTCTCATTGGTCCATGTGAGTCCCTCCCAAAGCAGTGTGCTGTTGAAAGAGAATAACCCTCCCTGATAGCCCTGTTCTTGCAGGTACCAGAGCAGCTGGGCTGCACGGCTGGAATTTCCAAAGAAGCTCTCAAGGACCAGGGCAGGTGCACTTGCAGTTTCTGGGTCCTCATGGTCATTTGGCTCCGCCACTGGCTTCTGTACAAAACATGGCACTTCAGCGCCATGTGAGCAACCGATTTCAGTGCCAGAAATGAAGCAAATGGTCTAGGTTCAGATGCCAAGTCCCAGAAGAAAACCCTGACCGGACCCTCTTCGGGGCCCACTCTGATTCAGCTGGCTCTAGTCACACACTATGAACATCGCCCGGGGGCCACCCCCTTAGGTGGGGATGTGGTTCTCAGAGAAGCTTGACTCTAGCAGTCAGCCGCCACTCAGGACGAACAGGACAAAGCTCATGGCTGAAAGAGCAGCCCAAAGATCTACAGTCCGCTACTGACATTTGGTTACTAAACGTACACTGTGAAGAGTTCAGCCAGTCTGATTTAATTTACAAGCAAGAGGTCCACAGTAGTTTTGAGAATCTGAGAAGATGCTGGGGAGCAGGAGAACGCACAGGGGCAGCATTTTGAATACAGCTTAGTCTAGCGGTCAGCAGGCTGCTCAGGTGACAAATAGGAACATCTGTGGTCCCCCTCAGAAGTGGGTTTCCAATGACCCCATCTTGAGCAGACTGAAAAATGTTCCCAAAGCTAATCAGACCCTAATCATAGGAACATGTAAATATTACCTTTTGTGAAAATATCTTCACAGGCAGTTAAATTACAGATCTTGATGTATTATGTTTTTGTTTTTGAGACAGGGTCTCACTGTGTAGTTGAGACTGACCTGGAACTCACCATGTAGCCCAGGCTGGTTGTGAACTCACAGTGATCCTCCTGCCTCAGCCTCCCGAGTGATGTATTATGTTAATACTAATTATGATTAAAGCCCAGGGATTTAGCTCAGCGGTTCGGTAGCCTGCCTTGCAAGCACAAGGACCCAAATTCAATCCCCAGTACCAAAAAACAAATACTAATTATGATTATTTGTATACTTACTTTTCGATTAGATTGTAAGATTCCTGAGAGTAAGGATTGTCCTATTCCACTTCAGAGCACATGCCGTGGCCTATCCTGGATCCCTCTCCCTCAACCAATACAAACAGTACTCCTTAAATGAATCAAGGGAGGAAGGGTGAGATATGAGAAGTGAGGGGCGGAGTCAACCTAAAAGGAGCCCAGGGCGGGAATTGCAGGCAATGAGAACAAATTTTGTGTTCAGATTTTTTTTGTAAGAGAGAGGACTGGGACAGGATCTTGCTATGTCATTCAGGCTGGCCTTGAACTCTGTGTAGCCCAGGGTGGTCTCACACACAGTGATCCTCCTGCCTCAGCCTCCTGAGTGCTAGGATTTTAGGCCTGCGCCACTACACTCAGCTAAAAAAAAATTTTTTTTTACCCCAGTACCAGGGATTGAACTCAGGACATCGTACTTGCAAGGCAGGCACAGTGCCACTGAGCTAAATCCTTGACTCCTAAAAATATGGCTGTGATATAAAAATGGCAGGTATAAATATTCAGAGTTTTAAAAAGTCTAAATAAGCTGGGCATGGTGGCACCTGCCTATAATCCCAGCACTGGGGAGGCTGAGGCAGGAGGATCACTGTGAGTTCGAGACCAACCTGGGCTACACAGTTCCAGGTCAGTCTCAACTACATAGTGAGACCCTGTCTCAAAAAACCAATAAATAAATAAATAAATAAAAATAAAAAGTCTAAATAAACAGAATACATAAGCCAAGTGATTAATATAATTCATGTTTTATAATTGAGTCATTTCTCTGACCAAGATAATATAAACTTACCAAAGGCAAAAGAACCTGCCTGCTCCCAGAGCAGCTGTGTCAAACCCATAAAAGGAAAGGCAACTTAGTTTTGGCAAAATACCATCAGCTATCACAGTAAATTAGTGTCAATTTAATTTTATTAGCTGTAATTTATATAATACAGATTTATTTGGGTTATAGTTGCTTAAGAGTTACATGCCTAGTGTTGAGTTTGGTTATATTTAAACAACATTATACTAAAAGGCAATTTTAGCATAATAATTTTTTTCTTTTTTTTTTTGAGACAGGGTCTTGCTATGTATTCAGACTGACTTTGAACTCACTAAGCAGTCCAGATTGGCCTCAAACTCTTGAACTTGGTGTTCCTCCTGCCTCAGCCTCTTGAGTGCTAGGATTACAGGCCTGTACCACCACACCCAGCTAGTTTAACAATTTTCTAGTAATTCTGGAAGTCTAATAGTTTTTTCTTTTAAAAGTGCAGTGCTCAGCTTGAGTTCAGGGTGTCCTGGAAATCCTCCTGAGTGGCCAGTAGAATCTCCAGGTGAGACCAGGCGGGTTAATGGCATTGCTGAGAGATGTGGGGAGTCACAAGGTCAGAACCCACAGTTTTAGGGGGAAGGAGCTATTCTGAAGTAGCCCGGAGGAGCTTTAGTGTAAATCCTAAAGCATCCAGTTAGGAAAACTGGTCACACTGTAGGCAGGAGACACTGGCATTGAGAACGAAGCCCAGGTCTGTGGCCTCAGTAATTAGGTGGCTCCTGATGCCATCCACTCAGGCAGGAGTGGAGGTCAAGCAGCTTTGTCTACTCAGACCATACAGTCTGCCCTGACCGGCCCCAACTAGCATGTGGTCCCGCTACCTCCAGACCTCCAGCCCTCCAGAGTGGCACATGGCTTCAGATAATTAGGACCGGTGTCTGACCCTGCAGAGACCCGGCAGTTTGTAGTCTGTTACCAGCAAGGTGTTGGGGATGAGAGGCAGAAACTTCTTTCTCCCTTTTCCCTTGTTTCCTACCCTGAACTTCCCCCCTTGTAAATAACACAGGCTGGTTTTCTAGCTACAGTCACTGCTCTTGTGAAGTATTACTTGTTGGGTTCCCGGAGTTTTCAGTACTTCTGCCTGGATGGTTCTGTAGAAGTTCAGCTCCCTCTAGCGAAACAAGACACAGCTTTGCCAGCAGCAAACTTGATAGGGAAAATTTATAAATAGCAAAAACCTAGCTGGGCGTCGTGGCGCACACCTGTAATCTACTAATAATGTGATATGTAAACCATGAATTTACAAGAGAAAATTCCTGGGCGGTGGCTGTCGTAAAGCATATATTGACAGGGAAAACTTTTATAAATGGCAAAAACCTATAAAGTGTTACAGTGTAAAATGGCTTCTGCTGTCTCTCACAGCAGTTTGTTTTGTTTAGCTCACAACTAATAGGCACCAAAGGCACTAATTGCTGAATGAGACATCTGGTCTCACCCTGAGATAACAGTCAAGGTCTTGAGCTCCAAGGAGAATGGAGCCACCTGATCATAAAAGTGTCTAAATGAAAGAACCCATGGCTAACATTTGCTCCCCTGACCCTGAACACGCCCTTCCTATGGACTAGAATAGAAAACTAGGCGAATCTTAAAGGTAAACTCCCCAACTGCAAAGAACTGTTACGTCTGGGTTGAAAAGATGAACTATTCTGTGACCGTGATTTGAACTATGAGAATGGAATGTAACCACCCAAATGAAGTCAAGGCTGTGAAACCCTATAAAGGAGGAGTTGTAACGCAGTGCGTCGTTGATCCAGGCACAGCTTATGTGCGATTGGCCCTTACCGATAAGTAAATTTATTACTTTACTTCCATTTTGCTGCCTCTCTGTGTGTCACTTACTGATTCCTTCTGTAACAGACTAATCCATTAACTTGATAAGTTGCTACCTGAATTTTTCCTTTTCTAGGTGAATTGGACGAGTACTTGTCTCTTTATCAGCAAACTTTCTTTTTGACTAATAGGAAACTCTTAGCTGAGCAGGGTGGCACATGCCTGTCATCACAGGGACACTTGCAAGGCTGAGGCAGGAGGATCACTTGAGTTCAGTAGCTGGAGACCAGGCTGGGTGACAGACTCTGCCTTAAAAAAAAAAAAAAAATTAGGGCCAGGGATGTAGCTCAGCTGCATAGCACCTGCCTGGCAAGTGCAAGGTCCTGAGTTTGATCCCTGGTACAAAAAAAAAAAAAAAAGAAAAAAAAAAAAAAAAAAAGGAAAGAAAGAAAAAAAAATTATTCCTGGCTCCAAGTAACCATTCATTAATATTATTTTTTACTTGCATAACAAAACAAAACCAATTTTAATCAATCATCAGATTATAAGCATAATAATAATAGAATACATTTTTTTCTTTGCACTGGTGATGATTGAACCAGCCAGGACCATTTATCATTTTGATATTTAAATTTAAAATTATTTTTTGGGCCAGGAATTTAGCTCAGTGGTTCCACCACCTGCCTTGCAAGTGCAAGGTCTTGAATTTGATCCCCGGCACCAAAAAAAAAAAAAAAAAAAGATGAAATAATCCTTTGGTCTAAGTAGATTTCCTAAATCTAATTTGAATTTTCAAGTTTAAAAAATTATTTTTGGGGGCCAGGGATTTAATTCAGTAGTTCTGCTGCCTGCCTTGCAAATGCAAGGACCTGAGTAAGACCCCTGGAACCAAAAAAAAAAAATTTTTTTTTCAAAAACTGTTGCAGTGCTGGGGATTTAGCTCAGTGGTTCCGCCGCTTGCCTCGCAAGCACAAGGACCCAAGTTCAATCCTGAGTACCAAAAAAACAAAACAAAACAAAGAAAAAAAAACAAATAAAAAAGTGTTGCTGGCCGGGGATTTAGCTCAGTGGTTCCGGCGCCTGCATCGCAAGTGCAAGGTCCTAAGTTCCATCCCCGGTACCAAAAAAAAAGAAAAATGTTGCTTTTCAGGGTCATAGAATCCTTGTTTACACTTTGAAAATATCATTAGCTCTACACTCTCCTGCATATTTTCATTGTCTATTCCATCATTGGATATGACTGTTTCTTCAAAGCATGACTTTTCTTCAAAACTATGACTTCAGAATAGATCCAGCTTTGAAATGCTTGAATATTTTATTGTAGATAGCTTTTTTTTTTGGTGGTACAAGGGATCGAACTTGGGCCCTTGCACTTGAGAGGCAGGCAGCAGAACCACTGAGCCAAATCCCTGGCCCTGGATAGCTAGTTCTTAGAATGGCATGGTGGCACAGGCCTGTAATCCCAGCTTTTTTGTTGTTGTTGTTGTTTTTTTTTTAGTTTTTTTTGAGACAGGGTCTCGCTACGCAGTTGAAACCGACCTGAAACTCACTATGTAACCCAGGCTGGTCTCAAACTCACAGAGATCCTCCTGCCTCAGCCTCCCAAGTGCTGGGATTACAGGCATGTGCCACGCCTGGCATTATTTTATTTTATTTATTTTTGTGTGTGTGTGTGTGTGTGTATCAGGGATCGAACTTGGGCCCTTGCACTTGCAAGGCAGGCTCCAGAACCACTGAGCTAAATCCCTGGCTGTAATCCCAGCTCTTGAGAGGCTGGGTGCAATAGCACCCTGAGTTTGGCTAGGTTTTTTTGTTTTGTTTTGTTTTGTTTTTTTCCCAGTACTGGGGATTGAAATCAGAACCTTGTGTTTGAGGCAGACAGTGGCACCACTGAGCTCAATCTCTGGCCTTTGGCTGGGTTTTTTTTTTTTTTTTTTTTTTTTTTGGTACCAGGGATCGAACTCGAGTCCTTGCACTTGCAAGGCAGGCAGCAGAACCACTGAGCTAAATCCCGGCCCTGGCTGGGTTTTGAGAAAGGATCTTGCTATTGCCCAAACTAGCTTCAGGTTCTTGGGTTCAGGTAATTCTCTTGCTTCAGTAACTGGGACTACAGACTAAAACCACCATACCCAGCAAGAACCTGTTTTGTCCATTTTTATGTTCACTTCCGACCCTAATACTAGACTCTCTGGATAAAATACTAGTTTATAGTGATTGTTACTTATACTATTAGCATTAAAATCATCATCACTAAAAAAGATATGAGGCCAAGTGTGGCAGCTCAGGCCTGTAATCCCAGCACTGGGGAGGCTGAGGTAGGAGGATTGCTGTGAATTGGAGACCAGCCTGAGCTACATAGTGAAACTTACTTTACGTTGTCATTTTTTTCCCCATTAAGTTTATTGGCACATTTAAAGCAAACAATAGAGCTGGGGATGTAGCTCAGTGGTTCTGCCGCCTGCCTTGCAAGTGCAAGGACCCAAGTTCAATCCCCGGTACCACAAAAACAAAATAAACAAAACAGTTACATTCATCATTGGGATCTTGTACCTTTACACGATTGGTTCTTGTTTTTTCCCCGTACCCCTGCCCTCCTTTAGGTTGTAATTGAATAATGAAACTATTAAACTAGGAGAGCAACATTTCTGTCAAATATGTAGGTATATCTGTATATACCTTTACCAGAATATACAGTTGTATCTGGGTGTTGCTCTATATTGACGTACTGTGGTTCAGTTTATTTATTGTATTTTTGTTTTGTTTGTTTTTGGTACTAGGGATCAAACTTGGGTCCTTGCACTGCAAGGCATGCGGTGGAACCACTGAGCTGAATCCCTGGCCCATATTTATTTTGTTTTTGAGACAAGGTCTTGCTTTATAGTTCGGGCTGGCCTTGAACTCATTGTGTACCCAAGGCTGGCCTCTAACTCACGGTGACCCTCCTGCCTCAGGCTCCCCATCCCTGGGATTTTAGGGGCGTGCCACCATGCAGGCAGGTCCGTTTCCAAAGGCGAACATTTCAGTGTACACCGGGACACCTGTGTTCACACCCTCCCGTTTTTGAAACTATATTTAGATGTGCAGCTATTAAAAGCCTCAGTCCTGAGTGACCTTTCAGACAGAAGTTATATCCAATGCTCAAGTTGCCACTGCCTGTTGCCGAGTGGAAAACAGCAGAAAGCCCTGGTTCAAACATCGATTGGGTTTTCGTTTTGCTTCACTCTGTTTTTCCTTTTGCTTTAAGAAGATGAACCCAGAAACCACAACCCTGGTATCCTTGACCAAGGCAATGAAAAGGTTGCTAAGGGATCTGGGGAGGGCTTGGGTCCACTCTTCTGGGAAGATGGGGAAGAAAAGAATAAAGACTAGAGACAAGCAAAGACTACAGACAGGCTAATCAGATGGGTCTTAAGGTTGTCTAGGTCTTCAGATTAGAAAAAGTAAACTAATAATAAAGAGAAATCTGCTTTCCTTGCTATAATTTCATTCGTATGCCTGTACCAAATGCTAGATTTACAAAAATAAGCAGTACCAACAGACTTGAGCTTCCTTATTCCTTGTTGGCTTGTTGTTAGTCAGCCTTCAATAAAAGCTGTTTCCTTTCAGAAAACAAAACAAAACAAAACGTGGCTTCTGCCCTCAAGAAGTGCACAGCTTGTAGGAATGATAGAATTATTGAAAAATATAATCTGCAGGCAAGTGATGTTTTAGATAGGGTCTTGCTTTAGAGCCCAAACTGGCCTCAAACTCCTGATCCTCCTGTCTCAGTCTCCCAAGCGCTAGGTATCAGGCCTGCGTCACCACAGCCAGCTTCAAAAATACAATTTAATGTATGTGACCTTATATTGGTGTTGTTCCTACAGAACTAACAAATATGAAGGAAGGATAATCAGTTTTGCCTTTGACACTAGAAAAAGGACTCTTCATAGGGGGACATTTAAGCTGGATCTTAAAATGTGAGTGGAGTTTATGAGAAAATACAAGGCAGGTAGGAATTCTAGGCTGAGGAAACAGTACATGGAAGCCATGGGAGCTTGGAATTAGTATGTTGCTGAGTGGAAAACAGCAGAAAGCCCTAGGTTCAAACATTTATTGGGTTTTTGTTTTGCTTTGCTTTGTTTCCTTTTGTTTTGCTTTAAGAAGATAAAACACAGAAGCTATAACCCAGGTATCCTTGACAGAGGTGATGAAAAGGTTGCTAAGGGATCTGGGGAGGGCATATGTGTGGGTCAGCTCATCATAGACTGTAAGAGGATGGGCAGAAATGAAGGTGTGTGCTTCTGTAAACCCAGCACTCAGGAAGCTGAGGCAGGAGGATTGCCACAAGTTCGAGGCCAGCCTGGGTTATACAAGCAGTTCAAAGCCAACCTGGACTAATAGCAAGACCCTGTGTCAAAATTCCAAATTCTAAACTAAATAATTCTAAGCTAAAATAAGGGAACATTATCTGTTGTGTTGCATGATTGTAACTGTATTTTAGAAGGACACCTGCAGGATGGACTAGAGGCTGACGCAAGGGCAAAGTTAGACAACCGTAATGGGGCGCCCAGGTGAAAGATGAGAGGAGCTGGTTTAGTGGAGATGAGAGGAGAAGGTGGGTTCGACAGACATTAACTGAGGCAGACTCTCCAGGAGAGAAGGCAAGGAGAGCTTCCGGGAGAAAGGATTTCGGGAAAGCAGTGGAAGGCAGGTGTGGCGGTGCATGCCTGTGATCTCGGGTACTCAGAAGCCTGAGACAGAAAGGTCAGGCGTTTCAGTCCAGCCTTGAAATTTGGGGAGACTGTGTCAAAATAAAATTTAAAAGAAAGGCTGGGGGGATGGTAGGGATGCAGCTCAGAGGCGCCTGTGCCTGCCTGGCAAGGCAAGGTCCTGAGTTTGATTCCCAGTACCAAAAAAAAAAAAAAATTAATTCATTAAATAAGAGAAGGGCTGGGGATGTAGGCTAGTGGTAGAGTGCTTCACATACACACACACAAACACACATATGTACACACAGAGGCAGTAGAATTTGAGTTGATCCTTGAAAAAAAGCATCTGGACACAAAATAGGGTCATGAAAGCCACCTTATTGTACAATGACCCCAGTGCTAGCTAGGCATATGACATCAAATCTCAATTATTTTGAGACTTGAATCCTTTGTAAAACGGTAAAAATGACTGCTTCACTTCTTATGGTTGTAAGGATTAAAGTAATGCTTGTATAAAACACTTTTTAGTAGTGGTACATACTGGTAATTTCAGCACTTGGGAGGCTGAGGCAGGAGGATTTTGAGTTTGAGGCCAGCCTGAGCTATACAGAGATATCCTGGCTCAGAAAAGAAAGCAAAAAAACAAACAAACAAACAAACAAAAAAACAAAAGAAAAACAAAACTCTTTAAAGTATAAAATATAAATACAAAAATGAGATATGGCCAATAATTCAAGTAATCAGACAACTCAAAAGTCTAGTAATACAAGGAATGAAAGAACAAGGGTGAGGGTCGGGGAATTGGCAAATGAACGCAACATCTACTCATAATTTGAAATTTTAATATTTAGCAACTGAAGGTATAGCTTGGTGGTGGATGCAAGCCCCTTGGTTTGATCACCAGCTCTGCAAAGAATAAAGAAAACCCACATCAGGTAGCAGTTGTAAATAATGTCATTAGAGTTTTAGGTTAAGACAAAATATTAGTTTTGTTCCCTGACCTAACCTTGATTATTCCGTCCTATAGAGTAGACCATAAACTCCAGGCTTTAGAAGCACAGTTCAAAGAACTGGACATCACCAAGGATAATCTAACCGAGAAATTTGAAAACCACAGCAAGACTCTGGCAAGCCAAGCTGCTCAAGACGAGCTGTGGACGGCGGTTTTGGCACTCAAGTGAGTATTCTGTGGTTTTGTAGCGGGGTGGGGGCAGCAGGATCTCTAGGAGTTCAAGGCCAGCCTGAGCTAAATCTAGTGACCCTGTCCAGAAAAAGCCAAAAGAAACAAACAACAAAAACAGCAGCTGGTTCTTCCGTGGGTTTGTACTCGGTTCTCCTAATGGAGTGCAGTTTGTATTTGCGCGGTGTTCTACTGATGACGCGGCTCTCCGTTTCTCGTAGGTTCACTTCAATGGAACTGAATCTTTTGTACAGCTATGTCATCGAAGTACTGATCTGCTTGCACACCCGTGTGCTCGAGAAGCTGCCAGACCTGGAGAGAAGTCTTCCCACCTTCACCTCTGTCCTTCGCCGAAAAGTCAAGAACCAGCGCATCAGGGCCGCGTGGGAATCGGTCCTGGAGGAGAGCGGGCTGCAGGAGGGAGACGCAGCAGTGCTCTGCGCCTTCTTCCTGGCGCACGGCAGCCACGCGGACCACTACGCGGCCACCGCGAGGCGCACGTACGTCGGGGACGTCGCGTTCGTGATCACTAGCGCGGTGGAGCACAGGGCCTTGCGTGATGGTTTGCTGCGGGCTGTACAGGTCGTTGACAAGGGGAAAGCAGCCAGGACGCCTGAAGAGCAAACGTCTTCCCTAAAACACTTGCTACCATCAGTCAAAAACCAATCTGTCTAGTCCCAGCACTCAGGAGGTTGAGGCAGGAGAATCATCGTGAGTTCAAAGCCAGCCTTGATTATACAGCAAGCTCTCATCTCACAAAACAAAGGGCCTGCGATGTAGCTCAGTGGCGCTGCCACCTGCCTCGCAGGCGCAAGGTCCCAAATTCAATCCCTGGTTGACAGAGTGGGGTGGGGGGGAGAAAACGCAAAATAAGACAAAAAACCCTGTAATCCCATGACCCACTGATTCAACGTCTAGTAATTTATCCTTGAAACTGAAAAAAAGGACACAATTTATTTACTGTAGGCTTATTTTTATAGGAAAAAGCAAGGGTTTTTTGTTTTTGTTTTTGTTTTTTTGTTTTTTGGTTTTTGGTTTTTTTTGGCACTGAGGATGGAACTCAGGTCCTTGTGCTTGCAAGGCAGGTGGCAGAACCTCTGAGTTAAATCCCCAGCCCAAATAAACTCTGATAAATCCACAGCATACTTTCTGTTCATTCATATAAAAGAATGAAGTGGCATCTACATAATGATATGAAGTTATTAGAAACTTTTAAAATATTTATCTCCTGTATATTCACTGAAAAGACAAAAACATGCACATAACATATTATACATATACATATATGTATAATATCAACTCAGCTATCCATCAACTTCTACACAGATACATATGAAAGCAGTAATATCGTCTTAGGAAAGAAAACTAAGATATTAGAGGTAATAGGAAGAGGTAAATGAAAGTTAAGAGAAGTCTTTTCACAGTAAATCTACATTGGAACTATGTGAATGAAGTACTATTAAAAGGCAAATAAACAGGGTGTGGTGGTGCACTCTTGTAATCCCAGCACTCAGGAGGCTGAGACAGGAGGATCACCATGAGGTCAAGGCTAGCCTGGGATACATGGTAATTTTAAAGCCAGCCTGAACTACATGAGACCCTGTCTCAATAAATAAATAAGGAATAATGAGATACCTGGGCACTATGCACTATACCTAGAGTCCCAGCTACTCAGGAGCCTGAGACAGCAGGACCATTTGAGCCCAGGAGCTCAGGGCCAGCCTAGGCAATAGTGAGATGCCAAATGTTTATTAATTTATTATTATTATTTTGGTGGTACTGGGGAATTGAACCCAGGGCCTTCACAGTGAGTTATATTCCCAACTCTTTAAATTTTTGAAACAGGTTCTTGATAAATTGCTAAATTATTCAGGTCAGTCTCCCTGAGTACTGGGATCACAGGTGTGCTTCACACATGGCTGAAATACAAACTCAAAAAAAAAAAAAAGAAGATGCAAGATCTATAAAAAAAAAAACAGGTTGTGGACTGAAGGGAGTCTAGAATTACAGGCTAAGGGATTGATACTGTGGACAAGTTGATGGTGACTCTAGGTTTCTGAACTCAGAATAAAACAAAAGCTCCCAGCAGCGTGTGGTGACGCACGCCTGTGATCCCAGCATTAGGGAGGCTGAGGCAGGAGGATCACTGCAAATTCAAGGCCAGCCTCAGCTATATTGTGAGTTCAAGGTCAGTTTGAACTATATAGTGAAACCCTGTTTGAAAAAAACAAACAAACAAAACTTCTCCACAATGTCTACCAAGAACCCACATCTTGTTTTTTGTTTGTTTTTTTGGTACTGGGGATCAAACCTGGGTCCTTGTGCTTTCAGGGAAGGTGGCAGAACTACTGAGCTGAATGCCCAGCCCTCCCACATCTTGTTTTGGTTTAACGTGGAGACCATTCCTTGGCTCAATCTCAATATGCTCAGCAAACCCAATGGGCCCTAACAGCTATTTTCAAGCACAGCAACTTTTCTTCTTTTCTTACACATTTCCTAAAGAGATTCAGGCCTGTTGTTGTTGTTTTATGTTTTTTTGAGACAGGGTCTCGTTATTAGTTCAGACTGTCCTTAAACTCACTATGTAGCTCGCCAGCACGCCCCGCTCCCTTCTGCTTCTTTTTTTTATAGAAATGAATTTTGTAGATTCAGTTGTCAGTTCTAGGAAGCCCAGTGTGAGTGGCCCAGGCCTGTAATCCCAGCACTCAGGAGGCTGAGGCAGGAGGATCACTGCGAGTTTGAGACCAGCCTGGGCTACACAGTGAGTTCTAGGTCATTCTCAACTACGTAGTGAGACTCTGTCTCAAACAAACAAACAAAAAGATGTACATGATATTAAACAGCTAAGCCCCAGTCTTGCACTTTACTGCCCACACCTATCAGATGGGAAGACAACCCTAAATCGGTCTCTGGTTACAGACTTTAAGGGCCTGAGATAGAGAAGAAAGGATAAGTGCTTGCTCATCAAGTTGTTCCAAGTCCACGGTGTCTGCTACCATAACCTTTTCAAAGATGTTTTTCCATTAAATGAGTTGTTGAACCATGCCCAACAGACCAGACTGAAGAAGTTATTTATGCTGAAACTCCAGGCCATCAAGCCAAAACTGTCCTTTCCAAAAAATCACAAGAAAAATAACAGCCAAATCTCCAGTTAAGCCAGTTTTCACTAGCATAAGGAAATCCCCTGAGCTTTTAACCTTTACAAGGAAAGAAATGTTTCTAGCAACCCATCTGCTTTTGGTTGTTTCTGCTGAGGTTTCTGGAGCCTGATTCTAAAATTGCAAATAAAAACTAATTAAGATCTTTAAACTAAATTTAATTCAATTTTGTCTTTTGTTTCTTTTTTATTGAGACAGGGCCTCACAAAGTCATTAAGTTGCCCAGGTTGAGCTTGAACTTGTCAACCTCTTGCTTCAGCCTCCTAAAGTGCTGGAATCACAGGCATATGCCACTATGCCCAGCTTAGTTTTGTCTTTTGACATGAAGAATTTTTTTTTCCAGACTACACTACTTTTAATAGTTGGAAGGACTTTTAGAAAAATAACAAACACAAAAAGCCAGGTGGATGGGTACACACACACACACACACACACACACACACACATTGTGCTGTAATGCAAAATTGTCCTCACATTTTACAGCACTCCAAATTAAACACTGTATTGCAGCACCTCCTGTTAAAGATATCTTGGAGTAATTCTGGTAATTTACATTGGCCCAAGCCGGGTGAGTTGGCGCACGCCTGTAATCCCAGCACTCGGGAGGCTGAGGCAGGAGGATCGCTGGGAGTTCGAGACCAGCCTGAGCTACATAGTGAGTTCCAGGTCAGTCTCAACTACATAGTGAGACCCCGTCTCAAAAAACCAAAAACAACAACAACAAAAACATTGGCCCAGAAGTATGTACCATTAAAGGAAACAGTCAAGAAGTTGGTTAGCAACAGTGTGTTCAAGTAATCAAACACTGGAGGGAATCAGGAAAGAAACGGTATAATGAAGTCTATGAAGCAAATACTAAATCAAAGAGCAGCAATGATTTGTATGAGCTTTGTAGCAAATAAAATATAACAAAGTCTTCACAGTAGATATAAAACAAATTCTAGCAAGAAACAAATATTCATTATGTTGATACTGTCTAAAAATCGATGAAATGGGTACAGATGAGAAAAGAAGTGTATAGGGATTTAACTCAGTGGCCCTGTGCATGCCTTGTCAAGTGCAAGGTCCTGAGTTCGATTCGCGATACCAAAAAAGTATGATTATACAGTCAACATTTTATATATGGTAATTTAACATTTGCTAAAAAAAAGTGCAACAGAACTAGGAAATCAACTTTTAACGTTTCTCTGATTGAAACTAGGAACTTTAAAACAATAAAGGTTGTTGGAAGATTACTGAGAAAACCACAAAAATTACTGTTCAGGTCTTTGTGTAGATAAGATCCCCTTTTCTTTTTGGAGGGGACAGGGGTTTGGGACAGAGTCTCACTGTGTAGTCCAGGTTGGCCTGGAACTTGCTAAGTAGCCGCTGAAGATTCACTTTTCTGCTCGGAGATTCAAAGCCTTCAGAAGACTAAAAGAAGGGCAATCTCAAGCGTAAATTGAGGACCACCCTCGCCAAACCCGGATCAGCTGCGAAGGCGGCGGGGGTTGGGCAGGGACGCGCGCGTACATACCGGAAGTCCCGCCCAACCAAGCGCCAGGTGCTTCCACCCTTGGGCGGTTCTCTGGGAAGGAAGGAACGGTTGGCGGACAATTGTGGCGTCACTTACTCGGCAGCGAATAGGCTTCTAGCCTGACGGGAGCGGGGTGGAGGGGCGGGTCGGACTCGCAGAGCGGGAGACTGAGGCGGGCGCTGGAACGCGGAGACCCTGTGAGGCTGCCCGGGGCCACTGCAAAACGCAGGTGCTCGGGTCAGACCCAGCGGCCAGGTAGTGAGGCAGCCGAGTGGAGCCCTGCAGCGGGTGAGCTGGAAAAGGGCGCTTGGCGCCGCGTCCCTGCCGCCTCGCCGCTTTCGCTGTCGCCTGAGCGAAGACGTTCATTTATTATTTGGCTTAAAAATGAAGATGGGCAGAAGCCCGCCTTGCGGCCACTGCAAAACGCAGGTGCTCGGGTCAGACCCAGCGGCCAGGTAGTGAGGCAGCCGAGTGGAGCCCTGCAGCGGGTGAGCTGGAAAAGGGCGCTTGGCGCCGCGTCCCTGCCGCCTCGCCGCTTTCGCTGTCGCCTGAGCGAAGACGTTCATTTATTATTTGGCTTAAAAATGAAGATGGGCAGAAGCCCGCCTTGCAAAGTGTCACCGTGCACCTGACCCTGCCAGCGCCTTTGGCATACAGGATGCTTGAAGCGCCTGCTGTCTGAATCCTGAGACGCTGTTGGGTGTCATCCTTAGACAAAATCTCAAATTTGCATTCTCTGGAGTTGGCCAAAGACATTATTTTACCCTTTTCAGATGTGGATGCCGAGCCTCATTAGCATATTAAGATGGCTGTGTCCCGAGACGCGGTCCCCGCGCTGTCCGACTGCCAGTGCCCGATCTGCATGGAGATCCTGGTGGAGCCCGTGACCTTGCCCTGCCGCCACACCCTCTGCAACCCTTGCTTCCGAGCCACCGTGGAGAAGGCCAGCTTGTACTGTCCCTTCTGTCGCCTCCGCGTCTCCTCGTGGACGCGGTACCACACCCGAAGAAATTCTCTGATCAACATGGAGTTGTGGGAGCTGATCCAGAAACACTACCCCAAAGAGTGCAAGCGGAGAGCCTCCGGGCAGGAACCGGAGGAGATCGGTGAGTGACACTGTCTGCCTTGTTCTTAGAAGTTTTATGGAACTTCTCCCACCTCACCCGCACCGGTATCAAAGTTAAAGAAAGTCAGGATTTTTTTTTTCTATAGTTAAAACGCCTAAAGCTGCTCGATCGCTGTTGACTTTGTATTTGTTTGAGACAGGTTCTCACTATGCAGTTCAGGCTGGCCTAGAACTCACGGCGATTCTCCTGCCTCTGCCTCCCAAGTGCTGGGATTACGCCGGGCTTTTGTGTTGCTAATTTTAAGACAACAGTCTCACTAGTAGCTCAGGCTGGAGTCCAATTTGGTGCCTTCCTGTTTCAGCCTCCCCAAGTGCTGGGATTACAGGCATGCATTACTGTCCTTGGTTCTAAGAGAGCTTTCCATTACCAGTTCCAACTAAGTGGGGTTTGGTTTGTTTGTTTTTTTTTGGTACCAGGGATCAAACTCAGGACTTTGCACTTTTGAGGCAGTTGCGGCGTCACTGAGCTACATCCTTGGGTCCATCAGTTCCATCTAGTTCAGTCATTTTTAGTCAAAGCCCTTCATCTTGTGCACTCAAGATCTCCAAACTGAGCGCTTGGCTCCTGCATCTTGCCTTAAGTTACAGGAGCTGTAAGCTATTCAGTGCTTCCTGTCTAGGCTTTGAATATGGTGCCTGTGCTCTGGCGCACCTGCCATTTATTTATCTTATTATGGTAAAATCATTTAACGAACTTTTCCATATTTAGCATTTTTAAGCAGTAGTTATAAAAAACAGTTTTACTGAAATACCAAGGGCTGGGGATTTAGCTCAGTGGTTCTGCCGCGCAAGGACCCGAGTTGGATCCCCAGTACCCGCCCCCCCGCAAAAAAAAATACCATACACTTCACCAATTCAGAATTCCATTAATGAGTTTTCATATATCAGTAATTTTTCTTAAATTGATGAAATACGCATAAAATTTGCCATTTTAACCATGCATGCGTCTAGCTGGTTTTCAGGGCCTTCTTGCGTACTAAGCAGAACCTTCACTGCAGAACTAGTTACACAAACGCCCACCCACTTTAACCATTTTGAAATACACAGTTTAGTTGCTTTAATTGCATTCACAGTGTAACCATGACCACTGGCCATTTCCAAAACATTACCACCCCAGATAAACTAACCACGAAGCAGTAATTCCCCATTTCACCCTCCCCACTTCGTCATGGTAACCTCTATTCTTTCTGACTTTCACTAATCTAGATATTTTGTATAAGTAAAATCATACTGTATCTTTTGGTTTTGTGTCTAGCTAGTATTTCTGAGGTTCATGGGCCTTGTGGCCTTGGGTCAGAAATTCATCTGGGGAGCTTTCTGTGGGTATAGTGTGTTAGATTTTGTTCTTTCATCCATTTTTAGACACTTGGGATGTTTCTATCTTGTGACTATTTGAATACTGCTGATGTGAACAGTCACATACAAATACCGTTTAAATAGTTGTCACTTCTTCTGTGTATAGCCATCTGTTCGTATCCAAAGGGAAGGACTCCAGGTTCACCTTCAGATACCAAAATCTCAAGATCCCCGACTTCTTTATATAAAATACTGTAGTTCTTGCCTAAAGTTTCAGCATCTCCTCCCACATACTTTGAATCAACTCTCCATGACGTGTAATATCTACTCCAGTGCATACGTTTCATAAATAGTTCTTATGCTGTATTGTTCAGTGAGTGTTGAGGAAAAATGCTACAAGTTTAAAAAGAATTTTTTTTCTGAATTTTTGTCAACCCAAGGTAGGTTGAATCTGCGGACAGCAGAGGGCTGACTCTATACCTGGGTGTAGGTTTGTGGCATCTGCCAAACGGGTTTTCTGCAGTTTCTCTTGCGCCAGTGTATAAGGTTCCCGCTTCTTCACATACTAGCCAATACTTGTTATTCTCCCATTCCTCGCAAGCCTCCTTGTAGGTAGGACTGTATCGGAATTGTGTGTTTGTTTGTTTTTGGTACCCGGAATTGAAATTGTGACCTAGTACTTGCAAGGCAGGCAGCGGAACCACTGAGCTAAACCCCTAGCCCTTGTGTGTGTGTTGTTATGTCTACTCCTGCCCTGCCTGTCAGCCCAGAATCAGTATATAAAGTTTACCATCTTAACTAGTACTTTTTTAAGAGGAAAATTTACTGGGGAATAGAACTAGCTCCTGAGAGTCAGGAAGGTCCCAAATGGGATATTACCTAGTATTTTAAATTGTATAGTTCAGGGCTGGGAATTTAGCTCAGTGGTTCCACTGCCTGCCTCGCAAGTGCAACAGATGACTATACATAAAAGTGACAACTATTCAAACAGTATTTGTATGTGACTGTTCACATCAGCAGTATTCAAATAGTCAAAAGATAGAAACATCCCAAGTTCTATCCCTGGTACCAAAAAAGAAAAAAAAAATTGTATAGTTCAGTGATATTACAATGCGTTCACATTGTCAGGTATTAATCACTATCCCCTGTCCCTAGAGTCTGTTTTGGTATTTGAGAACTGAAACTCCAGTCTTCTTAACTGCCGGTTGCCTGTTTCCTTCCCCCACCAGCTCCTGCCAATCACTGTTTACTTCCTCTCTGAATTTGATCAGTTACTCATAGAAATGGAATTCTGCAGTAGGTATTTATCCTTCATTTCTGGCTTGTTTATCATAATGTCTTCACAGTTCATCCACGTTTCAGCATGGGACAGGACTCTCTTCCTTTTAAAGACCCAGTGGATACCCTACCCTCCTTCTCTCTGTCTTTCTCTCTCCCCCATGCTAACCCGCCTTGTGGATGTTAGACACACTAACTCTGAGCCTTACCCCCAGCCTGCTCTTTCTGAGCAGGCATGGCAGCCTCTGGTTCTCTTGATTTCTTTCTTTTTTTTTTTTTGGTTGGTTTGTTTTGGTTTTTTGAGACAGGGTATAAGTAGTTGAGACTGACCTGGAACTCACTGTGTAGCCCAGGCTGGTCTCGAACTCACAGCGATCCTCCTGCCTCAGCCTCCCGAGGGCTGGGATTACGGGCGTGCGCCACCATGCCCAGCTAGTTCTCTTGATTTCTGAAACATCCTTTCTGTAAGCTGTGTTGAGGATGATCAGGTTCTCACTATTCAGCGGCAGGCACCTGAAGAATCGCCTGTACCTTGTAAGTGGGAACTAGAGGGCATATGATGTGGATTCTTGCAGTCCACTCCTAAGGTAGTGCTGTGAGAGTAGGGGTGGGCTGGGAGCTGGGATGCCTGGGCCCCTGTCTTCTTAGCCATGTCCACCTGGAGTGCAGCTTGGGATGGAGTGAGGAGCAGATTGCGGTTCCAGGGCCACAGACTTTTCCTGCTGAGGTTTAGAGATTTTCCTTTTGAAATATTTCTTCATTTGCTATTTACTTTTTTTTTTTGGAGACAGGGTTTCACTGTGTAGTTCAGGCTGGCCTCAAATTTGCAATGATCCTCCTGACTGAGCCTCCCAAGTACTGGGATTACATTTGTGCACCATCTCATCCGGCTATTTGCTATTTACTCTTTTTTTTTTTCTCTCTCTCTTGTGGAAAATTTTCAGGGACTGTGTCGACTGGTTTTATAGCTTTCCCTAGATAGGGTTGTTTCGCTGGAGAACAAATCTGTGGATCTCTACAGTCCTGGAAGTTGATCTTCCTTTTGTTTTTCATGTAAATGTTACTGATGCTTGACTTAAAGAAGTGAACAGACTCAGTTCCAGGCTGGCAGAGTGGTCCATGCCTATAATCCCAGCACTAGGGAGGCTGAGGCCGGAGGATTGCCAGGAATTTGCTGCGAGTTTGAACATAGCAAGACCCTGACTCCTCCCTACCAAAAAAAATAAATAAATAAAAAGGAAGTGAGCTCATCTCTGTGCTACCAGCTTTCCCACTAGGCCAGAACTTCGCCACAGTGGCTGGTTCTTATTTCCCCTTCCCAGTCTCTGTTCACTTCTTGTCCCTGGACCTACTCTCCTCTCCTGGAACACTGTAAGTGACTTCTGCTGTTATTGAACCTTCAAAAAATTTAACAATCTTGTACTATTTTGCTTGGCTTGTTTAGCTCATAATTATATTGGTGAAATTGATTTATATTTTACGTGATCATAGTTTGTTTTCATTGTTATGTAGTCCACTATTATACATATCCTTATACACCCACAAACCCACATACTCACTAATTAAAGTCATCAAAAATTCTGGGTCTGTTGATTATAGGTCCTTTTGCTTTTGCTATTGTGACTAGTGCTGCTGTGAATATATATCTGCATTTCTGTCCAGGCACACCTATAATCTCAGCATTCAGGAGGCTGAGGCAGGAGGATCACCACAAGTTCAAGGCCAACCTGGGCTACATAGTGAGTTCAAGTTCAAGACCCTTTCTCAAAAAAAACGGAAAAGTTAAAATCCTTTTCCTGTTCTATATGGGAATCTAACCTTTGAATCTCTTAGCTTTGTTCCTCTAAAATCCCAATGGGAGTAAGAACATCAGCAGTGAACGAGGCAGCCTTATTCTTGGTAAAAATGATCTTTTATCGACTTAATGCTGTTCTACGGGAGGAATGATAAATGCTGATGGAATGCGAGGCTGCCTGCTGTGACTGGCAGTGACCGTGGGGAGCCACTGCCTGGACGGTTGTCACTGGATGTTGGCTGCTTTGGCCACCATAGCTGCCTGGCTTTCCTGTGGTTAAGACTGGTACCAAATAAAATTTTTAAAAAGTGGGGGGGGGCTGGTGCCAAATGTGGCCCGTGCTTGTTTTCTGTGTTTGTTAGCAGATCACCTGGTGGCCATTACCACTCCTCAAAGTGCTTGTGCCCAGAGTCACTCCTCCAACTCTCGTGTGTGGGAAGTGTCACTTACGTGGCATCTTTGCAGGTGTTTTTGTTTTTAGTAATTTGGTGGTAAACTCATTTTTTTCAACTTTTCTTCTTTTATTACAACTTTTTACTAGGGAAATTTTAAGCATACAGAAAAGGTGGAAGAGTTTTATAGTGCGTACTCACACACTCATACCCATATGT